CCCCAAAACCCCAAAACCCCAAAACCCCTAGCCATTATACAATTATTGACAATAGAGAAAATGTATATGTAAGATGCTACAGACCCACTGAACGCGCATTCTCTAAACTCTTCAGATGTGTACCTCTGTAAATTCTACGACCTCTGCTCTGGAAGAATGTCTAATTCTTGGCTTGCATCATGTTGAAACATTCTGTTTTGCTAAAGTTGTCGTCATGGAAGAACCTATTACGTCATACCATCAAGTTTCATCGACATAGTTTTGAGATATTATATTGGCATTTCATTCCAAATTTATGCATAAGCTGACTTCTTGTTATAGGCTCAGATTGATGCTGTTCGCAGCAATCGTGTTATCAGGTAAGATTATCTAGTGAAATTGCTACTTTTCAGGCAACATCAGATCATCGGTTTCTTATAATATAATGCTCCCACTAATTGTTGACCAGTCTTGACTTTTTATGGCCATATCCTTATATGAAGCTCTTAGAAAGCTCTCTGCTTAGATTAAAACCATTGGTGGTACTTTAGTGGAATCTTTTTGTTCACAATTTCTCTCATGAAATTATCAAAAATAATATTAGCATCAAAAAGCCAATGATTTTACTAAGCGTTATTTTAGCATAAATTTTTAATACATTTTGATATTTGGGCCAGCCGTTAGATGCTTTGTCTACCTCTTCTGTATTATTTGATAGATATCTTCTTAAACTTTAGCAACATTCGAAATAAATATTGAGACATTTTATAGCACTAGCATTTGACCCCGCTCAGAGTACAATCACTGGCGTAACTTCTGGAGATAGCCTTGTTATAAACCAGACTTATACTATCATCGTCCAGGCCAAAGATTCTGGAGGAAATAATATTGCAACTGGAGGAGAAGATATCTATGCTCGTATTACAGATCCATGCACTCGAGGAGCCAATATGGCCTGAGTTACCTCTGCTTTCACTCAGAGTGCAGTTAATGGTGGAGAGAAAGTTATCAAGCTAGTTGACCTTGCAAATGGAAGTTATTCCATTGGCTTCAACTTGAACCACATTGGAGATGCAACTATCTCAGTTGTCAGGCCCGAGCATCAAGATATTTCTGCAGATTACTACAGTTCAGGGAGTATTTCAGGACCCCCAGATGATTCTAATACAACAGCGTAAGCTCCTATTTCTTCATCAACTTACTTACAAATTCTGGGCTATGCTTGAGCCATTTTTGTAGATCTCTCTTGAGAAAGGAACTAAAATTAAATTCCTGGCTCCGTCCAGGTCATTTTATTAACCTGACCTGATCTGAACTTGAGTTTTTATTGAAAACTTTTAATCTTCTTACATATAGAGATATTAACTTGAGCTGGGGAAATGGTCAAGATATCACTCCTGGTAATCATGACAATGTGGCAGCTCAGCTCACTGGCAAGCTTACTTCTTTTCAGTCTGGGACTTGTAGTTTATCATTACTCCAAGACGATGGAGCAGATTTGTAAGTTTGGATGAAATTTTTTTAGTAAAATTAATGGAGTAGCAGAGATCAGCAATTATGGAGTTCAGATGTTTGGCACAACTAGTTTCAATTATGTTTTCAATGCATTCGAGACTTATGACCTTGAAATCGATTGGATAGATATACAGTACGGCGCTGCCTTGAGCCTCTCATGGGATTGTGGAAGTGGAAGCATACTTATTCCTCCTGAAAATTATGCAACTGCGAGTGATGTAGGAATTAGTCCTTTGCAAGTTTCTGCAGTTTGTCCTGATAAATACGAGCAAACTCCTTCAACCACTGACCAATGCAGGCCAGTCTGTGGAGATGGCTATGTCATCAGTCCTGAAATCTGTGATGACAACAACACGGTGAGTGGAGATGGTTGCAGCTCTGACTGCACTTCTGTTGAATCGAGATGGATCTGATTAGGAGGATCAATCACTACAAAAAGCGTTTGAACTGAATGTCCCCAAGGGTATCACCAGAATAATCCATCAAACCCAACCTCTTGAGTGACCCAGTGAGGTGATGGATACCAAGTTGGAACTGAAGTTTGAGATGATGGTAATAATGTAGATGGAGATGGCTGCAAGTCAGACTGCTCAGCAATTGAAACAAGTTGGGCTTGATCAGGAGGGTCATCTGCAGCCAAAAGTGTCTGAACTGAATGAACTCAAGGACTCTATCAAAATGATCCTTCCAATCCTACTGAATGCATATCAAAATGAGGTGATGGATACAGATTAGGTTCGGAAGTTTGTGATGATGGTAACATTATTGATGATGATGGCTGATCTTATGATTGTACTGAAATTGAAGTCGGTTGGAAATGAGACACTTCTGTTCCAAATATATGCACTCGAGATTATAAGTCAGTTCCAATGAATTCAAATGAGAGATCAATTCAAGTTGCTACTTTATGTGCTATCCCTACCTTAGTCCTAATGAACGTTATTGGAGGATCCTTTAGTAGTGCATCGACCAATTCTATACTTTCTTCAATAAACCAGCTCCAGTTGCTGATTCTATTCTTGCTGTGTGAAACTTTCATCCCCCTCAGAGTGGTGACTTACCTCAGAACACTCACAGCATCTTTGATTGATATAGACATTGACTGGAGCTTCATCATTGTCTTCAGGAAGATTACTGAGTGGTTCGACTTTGCTCAGCCCAGAGATGATTTCGATACCATTGAAATAAGTTCGGGGAGCGCACTTATCAACCTGAACACTCTGGTCTGCATGTTCATCATTTATGTCATCATCCACTTCATATTGTGGGTCGCCAAGAAGTGAGTGGGTAAGTCTAAATAAACTCTGAGCTCGATTCATCAAGAAAGCTTACAGAAGTTTCACATTCCAAATGTATGTGGTCTTGATCTTTGAAGGATTCATCAACCTGTGCTTGTGCTCGTTCTCGGAGCTAGAACGATACAACGTCAACACAAATGGGACTGAGCATAATTCATTCTACTTCGCTGTGTTCTTTGCCTTAATCTGTTCTGTGTCTATATTTACAGTTCTGGTAGTTTGGATATCTATCAAGCCTTCATCTTCAAACATGAAGAAGTGTCTTCAGAGAGAACTTTATGATGGGATCAAGCTCAACAGATGAGCCAGACTACAGCCCATATTGTTTCTGGTCAGGAGAGTAGTTCTCTGATTCATGATAACTTGTAAGAATTCTCTGATACTTTAGTTGGCAGATCACTTGATAGACTTATGTTCATGGGACTGTACACCTTGACTAATCTGATTCATTGAGGGCTGATCTGATGCATCAGGCCATTCAAGAATGCGTCAGAAAACATTACAGAAATAGGAAATGAAATGTTTATTGTTACTTTCTGTTTGTTCTTGCTACTCAACCGCTCAGAAAATGATTGGAGTAGTGGCAAGGCAACTATTTTCTATTGGATTTTTATCTTGAACAATGTCTTGTATGCAGTGTTCTCCATAAGTAAAACTCTGTTTTGACAGTATAGTGATGTTCATTTACACTCTCTGTGTTTGCAAAAAGAAGAAGAGGAAGGATTTAGATATGAAGATCATGAAGATCTCACCTAAGAAGACAAAAAAGATTACTCTGAATGTGTAACATCTTTATATTACTATATAGTTCTCGATGTTTGCCTAGATCAAAGAACCTCAGCGATCTCCGTAGGTACAAATACAGAGACGAATTCAATGGTGCAGGTCGTTTGAACTCTTCTGGCCCAGGTCCTAGCTGTTTGAATCTTAATAGAGATATATAAACATAGTTCATAGTAACTGCGGAAGGATTAACAGATTTAGGATACAAAAATCTATTCCTTATCAGATCTCTCTGCTTTCACAGACATTTTGGTAATAATATTTAAATCGATAACTTCAATTGTAATTCAGTAGCCCGGGGTTTTGGGGTTTTGGGGTTTTGGGG